ATTCATAATTAGCTATCTTGATAGAGCAAGCAAGAGTAAAGATCTGGCACCTTTTGTCAGAATGTTAACTTCTCCTGTATCTTTTCGTTCATGAACCTACAAGAGCAATGGGAATATGGAATTGAAAACAAAAAGACCAGTAGCCGCATGGTAGTTTTGTGATAATAATGTATGAAGAAAGAAGGTGATCTGAGATTCACAAGTAGAATAACAGGGTGAAATCTCATTGAACGGTAAAATTCACCACTCACCTCTTACTGCACTGCAGAAATAATTGGAAAACAAAGAATAACTGATAATTTGATTACCTTGATTACGCGATGGACAATTGGAATTGAACGCCCCTGCAAAAGTGCAAAGGTGAATGTGTAAACAGTGAATTGCCAGAAGGCGGAGGTCAACAAGATTGAGAAATTAAATATGCACTCTCTTTTTTGAGTATGTTATTGACTGATTATTACATACAATGAAAGGGATAATCAGAGACAAGAATAAGAATTCTTACATCAACATTGTAAACAATGATTTCTCCTGCTCTTATAGGATCATTGTTCATGTGCAAGAATAAAATGTCTCCCTGCAAATAAAAATAGGTGTCACTTTGGTGTGTACAATGCATAATACTGCTTCTTCAATAAAGGGCAGTTAAATTAACTCAACACTTAACATAGATCTTTCAAAAGAGAAAAGGAACTTGAAGCACTAGCACGGTTTTCATGAACTCAAAAAATTGTCCTCAGAAGAAAAAGTTCGGATTCTGTTGAGGCGGTATACAAGCCATGGAAAAAGTAAGAAGCAGAGTGACACAGAGAGAACGGGAGAGCATTTCAATCTGCAATAGAAGAAAGTTTAGGATCGTAGAAGGCACTGAGCTTCTCCAAAACTGAGTCGGGAACAGAAGTTTCCAAGACAATTCATAAGCGCATTGAATTCTCGAAACAAATCAGCTTTTCAGCTCTAACTGGTTTCTGGCTTTCTTTGACTAACAGCCCGACTGGTTGGTTCTCATCGATAAAGGTTTATTTGGACAGTAGAGTTGGATAAATTTACCCTCTTGAAACCAGGTTCCATGCTTCCAGTAAGAACAACAACTACAGGAGATTCACTCCCGTAATGCACATTAACGCCTTCCATATTATGAGCGCACTACTAATAATCATACCTGAGCAGAACAAAAACAGACGTTAGAACGCTAACCATCTTGATAGGCTACTAAACCACAACATCCATATAAATTTGCAGATATGACTTCAACTAATTTGGAATGCATACACATTCCGAGCAACAAATGAATCACTATTTAGACAGTAGAGTGTTGCAGAAGGACTAAATCCGCTACTAATTTCTTAGATGATTTCTCGATGAGAAAAACCAAAATGAACCAATGAAGCTTCACTTAACATAACAAACTTAGACGTTTATGTCATAAACTAATTTATTTCCCCACAATCTGTAACTGAGCAAACTTAGACGTTGACTCTGTATTTTGTGAGTTCATCAGAAAGAGCAAGAAAATTTTTATAACGATGGGATTGATCAAACGGGTTTTGCTCAATCATCAATGTTGACTTCCTCAAAGAACAGATAACTTGAAAAAAAAAAAAAACAATGTTTATGTTATAAACTAAAATTTAACGAATGAATGGAAGGCAACAAACCAAAATGAGAAATAAAGTAAAGAGGAAGAAACCAAACCAAAGCTGACGGCGTCGTTGAGGGCCTTCCTAATTTGAAAACTTTTTATTGATTCCACAGTTTCGGCAACCCACTCCATGTTCTGGTTCTGGCCTTCTGGGTTCTGCTCTCTGCCAGATTCCAATGCTGCTTCAGAAATTTTGAACCTTGGTAGTTTGACCGCGGCCACCCGGGAGGGAGACAAATAGGCAAATGAGCTGGACAGCGAGAAGACCGACCCAAAAGTCAAACAAATGGTAACAACGGGTTTGGAACTATGGATTGGACTGTCAGAATCCCAGGTTTTGGTAATTTCATGAATCGTCGTAGCCTCGTAGGTCGATGACGACATTACTCGAGTTTCATTGGCCGAATTTTGTGGCGGTTCAGGTATATATTGTCCCACGTGGCTTCCATGTGTATACAATTAATTAATACTCCTACTTTGTTACGACTGTTGTAGTAAAATATCAAATTCCTACACTGCCCCTTGCTTGTTCCCATTAGTACCTTTGGCGCCGCTCCGAATTATGAAGTTTTGGATCAAACACGAAATGGAGCTACCTATTACTCAATTGTTTTGAGAGAATTGGGTTGTCCACTGCTTAGGTAGACATGATATTCAGTTATCTACGGACGAAATACCATGTGGTTGGCAACTTAGCATGCAATAGAGAAATGGATCAATTCTAATTTTACATGAACTAATTTCAAGTAATGTTTAGCTCTTATTCAATATACTAACACTCAAAACATTACTTTTAGACTTAATTTGACTACAGTTTGAGACAAACTCGAAATGTAATTTGTATATGCAGAATTTGGGTAACATTTTAACTTCCTGCATGCAATTACTATATTTTATCATTATCCAATTCAATCAATATTAAGTTCAATTGAAGTTTTTCTCCTCAAATCGAACTCAAGCAAGTTTTGAAATTCAACCTTTTGGAATTGAGCTTCTAATAATTGTTTCGTTAAAATTTAATCATCGGGTCAAATCTTGTTTGATGTCAAGTTGATTAACTAAATTTGAAAGGAGTATAATCTTGAAAAGTTTTATGTTGGTTCAAAATAACTAATAGATATGTCTAATAGTTGTTCAAGAACTAATAAAAAAATTTCATGTGAACATATAAGAATCTCACTTGCTGATTCACACGTTAAATGAAAAGTAAAATCTATTTGATATGTTAAATAAAATCAAATGAAACCCTTATATGTTCACATAATACTCTTTCATTGGTTAGATAGAACAATTACTAGACATGCTTAATAATTACTCATACACACAAATATAAAATTTTTTTTCTTGTACATAAGCTTTGTTTAAATTTTAGAACTCAGCACTACACTTTCAAGATTGGAATTGGGTTGGTCTAAGGATCGCAACGGGGCGGGGCGCGCGGGGTATACTCCCCACCCCGCCACCTATTTGAAATATATATATATACATAATTATATATATAATGATATTATCAATTATACTACTAATTATATATGTCTATTAATAAAAATTATTAATTATTTATACCAAATTTATTAATATATTTATGTTAAATTCCTAACTACACTTAACACAATAACATTTTTTTCTAAAAAAAACATAATAATATATAACGATTGTATTTATATCAGAAATGAAAATTTGATTATTTTAGTTATATTTGTTTTATCATATTAGATTGTATTCAAATAACCTTTGTTTAATTATTTTTATGAATTTCAATTGTGAAATTACAATGAATAATAATTTAGTGATGTGTTGATATTTTAGCACTTGATTATTTGCTCAAATTTAATTATAATGAAATTATATAATAACATTTTTTAACCCTACGGGTGCCCTCACGGGGGAAGCGGGACAGGACGGGACGGGAGGATGGGACAAGGGTGGGCGGAATTAAAATGCAACGGGGAGGGTTTTGGGGGAGGTGTCCTCCGCTCCATTGCCACCCCTGGTTTGGTCCACTGAGAAGTGTGTTTGAATAGAGTATTATTTGAAATATTATTTGGAATAATTACTATAGTACTTTTTATGATGTGGGCCCCGTTTGGAACCTGAGTTTTTAGAAGTTTGTCTAAAATTTTATTGTAAATTACTGTAGAAATTGTAGAAAAATTTTTGTAAGATAAAAACTTTTTTTTCTTTTCATTTTCTTTCTTCTCTTCTTTTTCTTTTTTCTTTTCTTTCTTTCTTTTTTCTTTTCTTTCCTCTCTTCCCGCTTCTTCTCCCTTCCCTTCCCTCCCCTGTTCGGCTATCCCTCTCCCGAAGTTGCCAGCAAGCAGTCTGTAGCAGAAAACTTTTTTTTTTTTTGCATTTTCTCTCCCTATCTCCTACCCGTCCCTCTCCTCTCCCTCTCTCTCTCCCCCCTCTCTCCCCTCTGCCCTCCCCCTTCCCTTGCCCGCCGCTGCTTCATCTGCCGGTGATGGAGGAGCAACAGAAACAATCCGTGGTTTGTACTAGTAGTAGTGGTGGTGGTCGTCGTCGAAACAATCGGCAATTCTCCTCCTCTTGCCGGACAGATCAGGCACACAATTTTATTATTTTTTTTTTTGCAATTTTCCCTCTCCCCCTCTCCTCCCCTACCACCCTCACCCTAAGTTTCAAAAAAAAAAAAAAAGTCAAACCTTTCCTCAGCCTTCCGTTGGGCAATTTGGTGCGATCTAGTATTGCTACCAGATCGGCCAGAGGGAGAGGGGAAGGGGAAGGGTGGTAGGAGAGGAGTGGGGGAAAGGGAGAGGGAGAAAAAAAAGGGAAGGACCAAATCGGGTAAAGGTGGAGGACAGCGGGGGAGGAAGAGAGGGAGAGGGAGAAAGGGAAAAAAAAAAAAAAGGAAGACCGGCGCCGAAACCGGTGCCGGTGGTAGTGGTCGACGACGGAGTTGGTGGTGGGTTGGGGGGGGGAGGAAGAAGAAGAAAAAAGGGAAGGGAATTTTTTTATGTGTTTTGGGTATTTTGAAGTGCGTAGGTAAAAAACTTTGATAAATTTTTTGGAGTTCCTGTAGCAAAAGTTGTTAAAAAACTAGTAGCATACAAACTTGCAAAAAAATTGAGATTCCAAACAGGCCCGCGATGTATGTGAAATAAAAAATAATTGGGAATACAAAAAGGTGGATTGGAAAATGTGTTTATGATGCAAGCGAAATATTATTTGAGATAAATTTGCAATCAAAACACACTCACTATTTGCACTGCGGCTTTAAAAACCCAAAGGTTTATATGCAAATTCTTGGACTTTCAAGGAGAAATGGGTAATTTGATGTTCAATTTATTTTTTGGAAATGCAGAAAATGGTTTGTGTAAAATATTAAGCAACTTTATACTAGATTTTACTTCCCTCCATCAATTATGCTAACTTCTCAACTCATGGCGCTCATCCCACCAGCTGGGTGTGCACGATTAACAGTGTCTCCGCCGGCGCTTCTTAGAGTCCGACGCCCCAGTGTTCCTAACACTTACGCGGCCATCTCCAGCCCAACTCGGACAGCCGGAGACGATGCGGTGGACTGGGTTGAGGCAACGTCTAGTTTCTTCCAAAAAGATTCTCGGCCCATCATGTTATTCGACGGTATTTCATTAATCAATTGCAGCTTATTTCACTAAATATGTAATTGAAATCAATGGCACTTGTCTATTAATTTTTCTAGCTCTTGGGTAATAGTTTTCGTTGCAGCATACTGAGTTGCCAGTCATTTGTTACTAATTAACATCATTATAAACACCGAATTCTTCAATTTTCTCAAAATTAGATTCGATTTTTTTTTTCTAGAACTTTTGCGGATTAAACTTAACTAGGAGAAGATGAACTTTTGTAGCACAAATCCTGAACTAAGTTCGGGAGGGAAAATTGGTTTTAAATTTTTAATCCTTCCTTTCTTCTAGTGATTAATTTGGAAGTGGAGAAAAGGAATATTTTACTTTTTTTTTCTTGTATCATTATCCAAGATCGTAGGAAACAAGAAAATTTAGCTGCCTCATTTTTGTTTTGGAGTAGTCATTGGAAATAATAGGCTGCAAACCACTGCGTATATGACGAACGGCTAAAGTGAAGATGTGTTCTTGATCTGTTTGATAGGCGTATGCAACTTATGTAACGGAGGTGTGAAATTTGTCCGTGATAATGATCCACAAAGGTACGTATATTCATTTGCCTATGGGTTTAGTGTTTTATCAGCTTATGCATTTCTTTTTTCCTTTATGTAGGTCTCTGCTTCTGAAAATGCTAGTAATCTTGTTTTAGGTCTAGAAAAAGACCCTTTAGCCTTGACTTTAGAGCTTAGATGACATCTTTGTATGTTTTCTCCCTTGACCCGTTTGGATCTTTGAAAATGCTCTCATATACCACAAACACATAATTATTGTACATTCACAAAACTTAATGTGAAGGTAACGAAAAATTAGGACTCATAAACATAAGGATGAGTTTATGAAGGTAAGAAGACTGAATATGTATATCTCATTTGAATCAATAAGTTAATGAAATGGTCATTGGTGGAATGAGGCCTTGCCCTGATGCTACCTCCAGAATTTCTTGAAGCATATCAAAGAGCAGGAAGTGCAAAGTTACAAGAAAATTTCTGGTCAAGTCTATGAGATGCTCAAAATCCCCTTCAAGTGAACTTGTAGTTCTGTTTTAAGCAATGTTGGACTGTTGATAAAGGTTTTCTTGTTTAGCATGCATAACTGATTTAGAGGACCATGGTTGAAAAATCCTTGTGGTTTTAGTTCTTGAAATTTCTGATTTGTATTGCTTTTTGGCCCACAGGTTTGCTTATTTTCCTGATAAAACTTGCAATTATTTTACAGGAGAATCAGATTTGAAGCGCTACAGAGTGAAGCAGGCAAGAAACTGTTAAGAAGATCTGGACGAGCTGCCGATGATATTTCAAGCGTTGTAGTGGTTGAAAAGGACAGGTACTTGCATAAATGGTTGGTCAAGGTTCAGTATTGTAAATTTAATCCTTGAATCAACTTAGTAGTGCCAATAGTCATGTTAAGTGTGTTGTGAGATCTAGTGCCTTTATTTTGAAGAATAACGTCCTTGTTACAGGTCTTAATCTAGTGCCTTTATTTTGAAGAATAACGTCCTTGTTACAGGTCTTATATCAAGTCAGAAGCTGTATTAAAGATCATGGAGTACATAGACTTGCCCTTCCCGCAGCTTGCATTTTTCCTTCAGTTTGTTCCTCTGTAAGTGAGAATTGTCTTCTTGTTATACTTGCTTCTACGTTCTACCTGAATGGCGGCCAAACGTACATTCAATTAATGCTTTTCTCACTCCTCTTGGTTATTGCAGTTTCATCCGAGATTTCTTCTATGACAACGTTGCAAATAATCGTTACACATTTTTCGGTCGCTCTGATACATGTGAACTGTAATCTTGCTGGTACAAGTAGCGTCGCTACTGCAAGTAATGACTGTTTACATCAAACAATACAGTCCTATTAGCTGATAAACTCTTTCTGGTCTATCCTCTGTAATAAGATGAAATGCCCAAGAAATATGCTGTTGTTTGGATTATCAAAAGTAGCAAAACAATAATGCTATAGGGATCACCTTCGTTACTTTCTTTCAAAACATTTCTTCTAGTCTACCTATCTGAAGCAGGCGTTGCAATGAACAATTGTAAAAGCGGAGGTCAACATTTGTTGATGGCGGGTGTGTTCAACAAAGAGCAGTGTTTGGATTCGGCCTGCTTCAGTAATATGACACAATGTCACAGCTCAAATAAACGTCCTGGGACTCGGGGCAGATATCTAATGCCTCCACAAACATGATGCGAGGAAATTAGTCGGTTGAGGTCGTGCCTATAAAAGTCATCCATGTAAAATATGACAATTCGAGGATCTAGCACGATGGTAAAAGCCCTTTACCCCTTCCATTCTAACGAGAAAGCAAGAACAATCATATTGACTGGGCACGTAATAAATCATCTTTTATTGATCCAGCAATTTATTTTATTGACCGAGTAGCGACTACAAACATTATTATTAATAGCAGCACTCGCCTGCATAAAACTCTGGAGTCATCGGTAAAAGCTATACTACTAGCAGTAGCAGTGGTACATAAATTACACAAACCCCCCGTTCAATTCAAGTAGGCTGACCTGACAAATTACTACTTCTACATAGCGGACTTATCTGCAGCAGCACCGTAGTAGTAACAGTTGTTGAACCCATACCAAACGTCCCTGGGTATAAAAACGTCGTAGTAGAAGGTAACAGGGCGGGTGTTGTAGCCATAAACAATCACATCATAAGGTCTCCAGCCATCTCGTCCCCCCCTGTAGAGATATAAATAACAAATCTGGTAGGTACAGGGTCCATATATCTCAAACGTATCCGTTGAACACCGCTCGAACGTCCTCGACCGTGGATCATCTAGCCTTGGTGCATAAACCTTGCAAACCAAAAACACCCACAAATTATAAGAGGTAATTTAGTCACAAGTTGCCGTAAAGATTTGACGTAAAAGCATACAACAGCACTTGGAGGATGTTGTCCGGAATAATTTGTTCTTTCAGCTCAGGAAGAAGATAAGCAGAAAAGGGAAAAGTATAATACTTGGTTTGTTTTTAAGCAAACAAGAACATGCCCATCACTGTCCGAAGCCATCATATCATACCCCAATTTACTATTTTAAACAGAGCATGCTTTTCTTTAACACTACCAGAATCAAACTAATTAACTGAATGATGGGTTGGCTTCAAACTTTCAAGTAATTGCATACAAAGATGAATTGTGAATGATCGAATTTTGTGCAGTAGAATTACCTGATTGCCATAAGCATCGCCAAAGGAGAGGCTGATACGATCTCGGGTGTACCGGACAGATGAACAGCTCGTCCTAATGCTCACCGTAAACGAACAGGTGCTCCTCTGATTCTGCAATAATACAGCAATTTGAAAAAGCCAAACAAAGAAGACCCAAAAAAAAAAAAACAAAAGCGAATTACTTTGCAGATAAGTAGAGTCTTAATCAAGTCAATGCAATTACATGGTACTACAGAAAAATGCACGCGAATAGTTTACCGGCGGCTGGGTTGCGTTGATTTTGAAGGATGGAAGAGGCTGAGCAGGCCGTGGGATGATTCTTGATCTGCTTCCATCTGAGCAGGTGGCGACGAGAGCAAAGAAGATGAGAAAATTTACTGCTCTCAACATTTTGCTCCCAAGCCTGTGATGGCTCACCCAACAACCCCTCTTGACTTGTTTTGGGTTTTAGACGGTGTCCTTAAATCCTTGAGCCTTGATGATGCCTTGGCCGTATGGGTTTGCTGAAGATTAATATAAATTTATGTTCAGAAGTTGCTCCATTTCAGTTTAGTTTAAAAAAATACCCGTCTTTGCTACTACTACTCTATTAATTTTGATTTAGATCAGAACTACTCTGCCGTCCTTTTATGTAGCTATGGTTACAGGTTATTTGTTAGCACGACACGTGTCTATGTCTCTAAACAAATTGACCTTTGGAATGACCCACGTTTGAAGAGATCCGATTTTCAAAAAAAATTAATGGTTCAAAATTGTACCGTACCATTTCAACCAAAAAGAAAATACCTGTCTTCATTATTGCTCTATTTATTTTGATTTGGACAGAATTACTCTGTTGTCCTTTTATTTACCTATATATATTATCAGGTTATTTGTTAACACGACATGTGTCCATGTCCCTAACTACTTTACCTTCTTGGTAAGACTCACATTTGGATCGACTCGATTTTCAAATACTCAATAGTGCCAAATTATGTCACATCACTTGGTGAAATAGTGTGCACAAATTTGAGTTATTGAATTTTTAAAAATCGAATCTACCCAAATTTTGGCCTTCCTGTAATTAACGAGTTTAAGGGGAAATATTATATCATGATAATTCAGTACAGTGCGCCATATTATGAATCTTCTTCTTCATTTTCTTTAGGCTTTATACTTTTTTCCATAGACAAAAAAAAACACACACACGCATAATTAGATTATAACGCTCAGAAAGTCATCGCCAAATTAAGTCAGAGACTAATTTAAGAGGAATCGACAAATCAACACCATCCAGTCAATTAGTGACAGGAGGTGCGCTGAGGACCTTCTTTAGGCTTTATACAATGGTAAAGATATCCGTGATCTTTGTTTTTTTCCTCGTAAAGAACCGCTAGCTGCGACATTGATGATTAGTCTAACAAAATTTTGGATAGTGACTCGTTTCTAGTAGATAAACTAAAAGCACGATGGAAGAAACATTATGCACCGCACAAGCGAAGCAGTCATGTAGGTCATCGTCATGTTTCACGTGCTGGCGGAATTTTCAACCCTTAAAGGTTTTAACACCAGAAAACTCGGTGTTGATCTTGTTGGATCCTCCCTCACATTTGGAGCCCTGGATAGGGTTCGGTTTCATTGATATGGGGTGAGCCGAAAGATGGCCTACTATGGATCCCCACTCCACAGTCCGTGCATGGTGCTAATGGATTGGTTATTGAGAAATTCTCGATTTTGGAATCCGGTTAAAATCAGACCGTGTTAAAGATCAACGGTACCCCCGTGATACGTAAAATCTGCATTTTTATGCCAGGAAACGAAAATAAATGTTACAACCAAAACCACCAACCCCCCCCCTTCCCCCAACAACAACCCAAAACACAAAAAAAAAAAAAAAAAAAAGCTATACTACAGAAGTCCCGTAGGCAAATTTGGTACAAAAAAATCAGCAGTCATAGACTCAAAATCCGAAGTATTTGTTTCATACCAATACATACAAATTTCGTGATGCCATTACACAAAATATGCTGCAAAACTCTCTGCCTTTCTCCAATAAACTTGATACAACAACATGCTCATCGCTTAGAAGTCAGTTGGAGGTTTCAATCTTATTAGTCTCTTGATTCTGTCTCTGTCTGTGTTCTCCAGCAATCCCTATAAAAGAGAGAGAAACAACAGCTTGAGCCTACTTCCCAGAAGATCAGGGGACCCAGTACATCAGAGAATCGGCAGAAAACAACCATGTGCAATGCAGGCCAAGTTTGGCAACCAAATAAAAGAAGCACCACTAGGGAGCATGCAGCAATATGACCACCAGTGATTCAAGAAGCTGTAACGAATGTTACAAACTGCAAGACGTTACAAGCTCTACGGTTGCAGGCATTCATTCTCTAGTGCTGTGTTGTGACATATTTGCAACGCATATAGGTGCACTCTCAATCAATTAGAAACTAAAAATACATGACAGGGAGAATATAGGAAATCATTTGCAAGGGGCAGAACATATGGCATTACATGGAACTGACAACTGATTGCAAGAATGATGTCATTAGATCTTTTCTTCTTTTGGTGCAACAGAGGAACTGGTGGAAAGGGATGGAAAATTGAACTAGTGCAACAGAGGAACCGGTGGAAGGGCAGGGAAAATTGAACTATGTACCAGCTGGGAGGCCTTACCCACCCTCCAGTGGAATACCATTATCAACTATATTGAAAATGCTATAAAGATCAGGAGTTCACATAGATGCATAAAAAATGTTTCAACTTGAAAACAAGAAAATTGCAAAAACTGTACTAACAGACCCTCTCACCTTCCACACAATCTCATCAAGGCACAAGCAAATCTTTCCATACTTGTCCAGGAAAAGGCGCTCAGTTGGTGCTTTTCCGCATACGTCCTTGATAGCAGATGTTATCACAAAGATTGCTTCTGACACTTTTAATAGATGCAACAAATTAGATTTACTTCTATCGTAGAGAGAATGAGATTGCAAGTCAGGTGAAATTAAGCACGCAGATTGCATTAGATAGCACCCCTAGGCCCTCTAGCCAAGGAAAATAGCCAAAAAGCAGGAAAGTTTCATAGCATGATCCCACCACTTGCAGAAGATCTGTTAGTTTTTCATAATTGCTTTTGCAATCACATGCTGAAAGACAACATTAGGACACACCCATATCAAAATATGTACTGCCACAGTATGATATGATAAATGCGTTAAATTTCCTTGATTTGCCAAGAAGATCTTTTTAATCATATCTAGGGGAATGCATATGTACCAAGTACCCAAAAGAATATATGTTTCAACTTTTTCCCAAAAAAACTTCAAAACTAAAAACTTTGCAAAATATGGCAAAACTCTTACAGGCAAGTTCATCATATTCATCCTTGCCAACAACAAAAATGCTGACATCACCAAGAACTGTATAGACAATATACACTGATCTGCAAAACAAACAATGAGCTAATGAGACTATATAAAAGTGACTTACAAGATATTATCTCTAATTCTTCCTAAGAATGTGGAAGGAATTAAAATACTGGCCTTAACTTAACTATCAATAACAAAAAGAAGGGAAGTTGCATACTTGTGGGAAGCAACAAGGAGCTCTTCATTTTTTACACCTTTAAGATTATCTGCTCCGAGCTTAACTAAGAAAGATCGCCAATGCAGACGTTCCTCTGCGGGGACTCCATTGAAACTACATCACATGATAAATTTTCAAAAAACCCATTAAACATTAAAAAAGAACAACAGATCCTGATTGCCTGTTTCTGTGCTATATTTCAAAACAATCAACCATAACCCCATGTAAAAGTGTGAAACTA